GGTGCTGCTGATGATGATGGTGGTGGTGACGATGATAATGATGATGGTGGTGGTGATGACGATGATGATGATGATGATGATGGTGTTGATTATGATAATGATGAGGATGGGGATGAGCATAACGATAACGACGATGATGATGAGGAGACGCAGGAGAAGGATGAGCATGACGATGATGATGACGACGACGATGATGATGCTGATGAGGCGGCGGAGGAGGATTATGACGATGGCGACGATAATGACGATGATGCTGTTGATGCTGATGATGATGATGATGATGCTGATGACGATGATAAGAAGGAGGAGGAGGTTGAGAGGCAGGCGGAGGAGAAGAACAGCAAACAAGGAGAAGAAAAGCAAACGAGGGTCGAGAAGGAGGGAGTTGTGGAGAACAGACGAGTCAACAGCGCAGGGGTGGAACCGATGAAGAATATGATCATGATGAGCGCAGGGGCAGGAGACAGAGGAGGTGGAGGAGGAGGAGGAGGAGGAGGAGGAGGACGAGAAGGGCGAGAAGATTTTCGCGCATGGAAACAAGGCGCGGGTGTTTTCGCACTCGAGGGAGCGGCAGAATGCGAGCGAGCGTCTGCGCTTCGCAGACATGAGGGTGCTTGGTTTCTACGCGCGTGAGAACAAACATGGATATATGTGTGTGTGTATATATATATATATATATATATATATATATATATATATAACCGGGGAACGGGACCTGGGGCCGCCAGATTGGTGCCTCGGACCCCCATGGGGGCCACGGGGCTCACTTTCCCTGTGTTTTTACATGGTTTCGGCGTTCCAGGGCCTCCGAGGGAGGCCGCCAGGAGTGGACTTGCGCCCCCTGGGGGCTCCGGGGCTCACTTTCCCTGTGTTTTTACAAGGTTTCCGCGTCCTGGGCCTCGGAGGCCGCCGCCTCCGACCCCCCGTGGGAGGACGGGGCGGCCGGGGAAGTTCAAAATAGTCCAGGAGGGCCTCCAGAGGATCCCAAGACGGCCCAAGCGGGCCCCGAGTCGCCGAAAGACCGCTCCAGGACGCCCAAGATAGGCCCAAGACGGCCCGAGAGGTCCCCCAAGGCACTCCACGACGCTTCAAGACGCCTCTCCAGAGCGCTTCAAGAGACCGAAATCGTCAATTTTACGAAGGTTTTCGAAAGATTTTGGCCTTCCAGCCTTTTCGGCCGTCCGACGTCCAAGACGGCTCAATAGGCCCCCAAGAGCGCCCCAAGACGGCCCAAGAGGGCCCCAAGACGGCCCCAGAGTCGCCCAAGACAGCCCAACAGAGCCCCAAGACGGCCCCAAGATGCGCCCAAGAGTGGGACCGGGGGACCACGACTACAAAATTTGACCCTCCCGCTTGAAGAGTGCCCCAGGAGGCCCCAAGGAGCCCCCAAGAGGCCCCAGGAGGCCCCCAAGAGGCACCCAGGAGGCCCAAACGAGGCCTAAAGAGGCCACAAAACAGCCCCGAGGAGGCCCCACAACGGTCCCAAAACGGCTTCCGAGAAGACCACGAGATCCAAACCAACACCCATGAGGCCTCTGACCCGCCACCCAGGGCACGGCGGCGGGAGCAGTGACAGCACTGCACAGCATGTTCGGGCGGGAGCCTTCCAGAACACGCTGCAGGAGGAGGAGGAGGAGGAGGAGGAGGAAGACCAGGAGGAGAGAGAGCTGGAGTGGGAGGAGGAAGAGGAGGAGGAGGGGGACGAGGAGGAGGAAGAGGCCTCCAGGACAGCTCCAAGATAGCCGAAGAGGCTTCCAAGAGGGCCCTGGGCGGCCCACGAGGGCCCCAAGGCGGTGCCTGAGGCGCCCAAGACGGCCCGAGAGGGCCCCAAGACGGCCCCAAGAGAGGCCCATGAAGGGAAACACGAACTGAGAATCCGAGCTTCCTACCCCGAGAGGTTCTCGGGAAGTCCCAAGAGGCTCCCAATCGGATCCAAGAGGCCCACAAGAAGCTCCCAAGACGGCCGACGAGGTTGCAAGAGATCTCCCAAGGTGGCCCCAAGAGGCACAACTCATTGTTTTACGATTGGGCTTTGACGGGTTTAAATTTTTGTCGGCCTTTTGGCATCCCGATGCTCCAAGACGGCTCAAGAGGCTTCCAGTACCGATCCAATATAGAGGAAGAGGCCTCCAAGAGGGCCCCAAGACGGCCCGCGAGGGCCACAAGACGGTGCTTGAGGCGCCCAAGACGGCCCGAGAGGGCCCCAAGAGCCCCAAGAGAGGCCCAAGAAGGGGAACGCGACCCAGCAGCAGAGCGTTCCCCCCAAAAGGCCCACAGGAGGCCGCAAGAAGCCCCCAAGTGGTCCGACGAGGACCCCAAAAGCTTCCCGAGGGCCCAAAAGGCCCCTAGGAAACGTCCAAGAGGTTTTAAAATAGCCCAAGAGTGCCCTCGATGCGTCAAAACTGCTTCCAGGAAGCCCCCGGGAGGCTTCCGGATTGCCTCAATCTGGCCGCAGGTGGCCTCAAGTCGGGCCTCCACGCAGCCAAGACGGCCAATGACGGCTTCAGATTGCAGAGCCGATGCCCCCAAGGGACCCTCAGACGCCCCCCCAAGAGGCGCCCAAGAGGTGCCTCCAACAGCCAGTTAACGAAGCATGCGGAACACCCCAGAAGCTCCTCAGATGCCGTCGCGCGCCTGTGCTTGATAGCGTTGTCCAAGATCGTCCAGCGCCCCCCCAGCCTGGGCTAGAACCATCGCGCGCGCGAAGGTTCTAGTATATATATATACACACACGTAGAGAGAGAACGACAGAGAGAGAGAGAGAGAGACACAACAAAACACGATATAAACAAAGGCGAGCGAAAGTACGAGATGAGAGATGGAGAGAAATAGAGAGATGGAAAAATAACGGTGGGTCGCGGGTGGGTCGCGGGTGGGTCGTGGGCCGGATCGCGGGTGGGTCGCGGGCCAGGTCGCGGGTGGGTCGCGGGTGGGTCGCGGGTGGGTCGCGGGCCGGTCGCGGGGTGGGTCGCGGGTGGGGCGCGGGTGGGTCGCGGGGTGGGTCGCGGGTGGGTCGCAAGTGAGTCGCGGGTGGGTCGCGGGCCGAGTCGCGGTGGCGACGACGACAACAAATAACAACAAATGGCAAGTAACAACAAACCGCAAACACCAACAATCCGCATGGCAGAACCTCACTTCAGCCACGCGCCCAGGGTCAGTGAATGACCGTTCGGTACCCGTGTGAGGAGTGGGAAACAACGTTATCAATGAGGGGGGTGCTGGGGAGTAGGAATTATCCCAGTGCGACCCTACCTAGGAGTTGGAACCCCTAGGAAAGCGGCATTAGTAGTAACAGTAACGCTAAGCTAAAGCTAAGCTAAAGCTAAGCTAAAGCTAAGCTAAAGCTAAGCTAAAGCTAAGCTAAAGCTAAGCTAAAGCTAAGCTAAAGCTAAGATAAAGCTAAGTTAAAGCTAAGCTACACGCTAAGCGAAACGCTAAGCTAAAGCTAAGCTACAGCTAAGCTAAAGCTAAGCTACACGCTAAGCGAAACGCTAAGCTAAAGCTAAGCTACAGCTAAGCTAAAGCTAAGCTAAAGCTAAAGCTAAAGCTAAAGCTAAAGCTAAAGCTAAAACTAAAGATCCCAGGAGACTGGGGGAACCGCTCCCAGGGGACTGGGGGAACCGCCCGGGGCGCTTTACACTGCCCGGCCCCTTTAAGCTAAGAGAGTAAGAACCCTTCTAGGCAGAGCCTAGGTAGGGAATAAAAAGTAAGGAAGAGGGACGACGAGGAAGAGATAGGAAAATGAGGAGTATAACGAGGAGGCGGGAATAAACAAGGAGGAAGGAAGTCGCCACAGGGCGTCCCATGAGGCCTTCTAGGAGCAAAATTCGTCCCCCTTCCTGAGGGAAGCCTGCATTTTTAGCACATTCGCCCCATTCGAAGCGGCCTTGGCCCCAAGACGGCCCCCGAAGCCTTCAAGACGGCCGAGGAGGCCCCGAGGACGGCTCCAAGGAGAGGCATAGAAGGGGAGCCCGAACGGACATTTCGAGTTCCCGTCCCCACGATGCCCTCAAGAGTCCCCCCAAAAGCGTCCAAGAGGCCCCCAGAGAGCGCCAAAAGGGTACCAAAAAAGCACCCAGACGCCGCCAGGAGGCCCCCTACAGGTGAAACAACTGCCTCTATGACGCTCCCGACGCGCCTCCCACGCGACCCCTATCAGCCATCCGAGGCGGTAAACCAAGCACGGCGGCGGGGTGTGCCCAAGGCTATGTGATAATCATCCCAATGGCATTTTGAAAGACGCCCACCGTCTGCAAATGTGGGTTTTCGCCCGCTGCCCAGTGCATGCACGGCGAACGCTGAGAATGCTAGCCACAGGAATCACTACTGGCAGTGCGGGCGGAGCCGTCATTGGCGGGCGGCCAGGGAGAACCTTGCACTAGCACGCAGTAGACTGCCCAAGAGGGCCCCCGCACGCCCCACATCATTTTACAAGATGGCCCAAGATGGCCCCTAGACGGTTCAGGAAGCCTTCTAGACCCCCGCGTGCCCTCCAAGAGCCCATCCTAAAGAGCACCAAAAAGGACAAATCTGCGTTTCCCCATACATTGTTCGAGGTTTGGGGAAATATCGAGCTTCTAACTTCCCGACCCTCGTAGAGGGCGTCCACAAGGCCTCCACGACGGCCCCACGACGGCAGAAACGGCCCCCACGACGCCCACAAAAGCCCCCCAAACCAACTCCAAAAAAAAAACAGCCGGAAGACCCTAACGGAAACTCCGAGCACTCGGCCCCAACAAGCCCCGAGGAGGTCCCACCAGACCCCCGAAAGGCCCACACGAAGCCCCGAATGGCAAGCATCTACTACACCCCCAAGGGGTGGGCGGTGCGGCAGAACCCGAGCATAAACAAAGATGAAGGGAGAGCACGAGCAGGAGGAGTCGGAGGGTCGGAAGGGCTGGACGAATGAGGAGGTAGCAGGAGGCGGAACGAGGAGAAGGAATGAGGATGAGGAGTAAGAAAAAGCAGGAGGGGAGGGAGGAATGGAGGGAGGAGGGGTCCTCCAACTCCCCGCGCAACTCGCCTGCCTCCGCCCCTGCGAGCTCCAGGCCTGCGAGCTCCCCCCGACAGCGGCGCAGCGCCTGCGGCCAAGGGGGGCGAAGGGGAAGGAGCAGCAGCAGGGGGGGCGGGGGGGGGAGGGGGGAGAACGGACGAGGGGCGAGGGATACAGCATGAGGAGCAGGAGGATGAGGACGGGAGGAATGAGGGAATGAGGGAGGGGTCTTGGCAAGGGTGAGGCAGGAGGAGGACGGGAGGGAGCCGGAGCGGGATAGCAAGAGAGGCGTGGACAGTGGGCATGCAAGGCCTGGGCGGCCCCCAGCCTGAGCAAAGCAGCGCCCCTCGAGGGGCCCCATCGCTTTCCCCGTCCCTGTCCCCTCCGCCTGCTCCTCCTCCTCATTCTGAGGCGCAGCGTTGGGGAGGGGATCGGGTCAGGCGGGGGAACATCGAGCTTGGCTCAGCGATACATCGCCGACAGGTCGGGGATAGGCTTAGGTCGGGCCTGTCCCCCTACAGGGGGATCTTGGGCGAAAAATTACAAATACTCCCCGACGTTTCAAACCATATGCAAAACAATTGTCCCCATACTATATTATTATTCTCGATCATCCCTCCTGTAGAGGGACAGGCCCGACTTAAGGATAGCCCCCCCGTAATGCAGTCGCGCGCGTCGGGGCGAGCTGAGCCCCCGGGCCCCTCTCGGCGATGCATGGGCGATTGTGAAGGGGCCCTGGGACATACAACAAAATACAGACAAATAACAGGATCCCCCCATACTTCCCAATATCTTCTAGGTTTTTGTCTTCCCCCGCACTTCCCATATTTGCCCATGTTTTCCGGGGAGTCGACGATTAATTCTGTCTGTGTGTTTCTTTCCCTCCCGAGATTGGGCGGGGGCGATGCGTTCCCTCCCCCCCCCCACTGAGCCGAAGTCGGGGAGACGTAAGTCTCGGGTACGGGGGACTCGGGTTGGCCTGACGGGGGCCAACAGGAGTTGGAAGAGGAGGATGAAGAAGAGCAGCTGCAAAAGAAAAGGGTGGGAGGAAGAAGATCCCAATACGCAACTAAATACGGAACTCAATACGGAGCCCCAAGACGTCCTACGTATTGGACCAATACGTAACGTATCAATTCGGCACGTATCAATCTGGCACGTCCTGCTTATCCAATACGGGCGTATCACGGCAGCTAAGGACGCGACTCACTCTGCAATTTGACGCGGGCTCCCGCTGCAGACATCCCACGAAAACGGGACCGCCAAAATCCAGGACGCGCTCGTCAACAAACAGTCGGCCAACGCGAGTTCCGGCTTACTCGAGTCTTACGTTTCCCCGACTAAGCCCCCCCCCTAACGTTCGGTCGGGCATGTCCCCCTGCAGGCGGATTTTGAATGAAAAATTAAAGGTAGTAAAAAAATACTCTAAAATGGTCAGAAATAGTAAGAAATCGTCCCCAGACTATTTTCCTACTATTTTTGCGTGTTCCTCCTGCAGAGGGTCAAGCCCGACTTAACCCTAACACTGCCCCTGAACTCTGCCCTCCCTCGCCCTCGCCCCCCCGAGGAGGATCAAATTCGGATCGGCGATCGAAATTCTTCGGATCGGCGGCGGCAACCAGGTTGGGAGAAGTCGGGTCGGCGGAAATCGGCAGGCCAATGTGCCTCCAATGGGACATCGGAACCCGAATCGGAATCCCAGGTCGAATCGACTTGGAATCGGAAGCCATCGAAATCGAATCGAATCGAATCGGACGAATCGAAACAAGCCCCCCCCCCTCGCGAGCGCCCATCCCCAAGGCCGGGCCTGCTCGCAATGCGCCCTCTGCCTGTCCGCGCCCTCGGTGGCGCTCCGCTGGAGGCCGGGGCCGTTTGCGGGCAGGGCTGGGCCGAGCGAGCGGTGAGCGCATCCGAGCGCCCAGGAGATGCTGCGACGGGCGAACATCGCGTAATTCACCAGGGGTCGCGGCTTTTGGGGCGCAACTATAGCGTAAATTGACGACGGATCGTGGCGTCGGGGACGCGAATATGGTGTAATTTGCAAGGGATCGTGGCCTCGGAGACGCGGGCATCGCATTATTCACAAAGGATAGCTGCCTCGGGGATGCGAGCATCGTTTCAAATGACTCGAAGGGTCGTAGCCTCGGAGGCGCGGCCCTATTGTAATCTACTGCGGGTCGTGTGCTCTCGCGCCCCCTGGGTTCGTAGCTGACAGGGGGGAACCAGAGCCATGGCGTAAAAGCAAACTTTCGGAGGTTGCAGTCGGACTCGATTGGACAGGACACGCGAGAGGACACAAGACCCTTCCGAGGGCCACATTGCCACCGGAATGTAGGAGGCATGGGTCGCGAGACACCGGACACAAGGGCACCCTTGATTTGGCAGGGTCGACCTACTAATTCGGGCCGACTGTATGCGCAGGTTTCTCGGATCGGCGCTGGGGCCCCCTGCAGCGGCGCCTTCGGCGCTCCGCGCGCCAGGGAGGGGACCCCAGTGCCGATCCGACAGAGCCGCGCGGACCACCGAACGCTCATGTCATGTCATTGCTTGTTCCCCGCTTAACGGGGGGGCTATCAACTGGTGGGGGGAAGCCACGTGCACCTTTCGTGCACCTCTTGGGCCTGCGGCGGCAGCTTAGGGGGCCGCTGAGGGCCCCTCTAGGGCCGCCCCAGACCCCCGACGTAATGTTGTTGTTTTTGTTTGTTTATATTTACTACATTTTTTCCTGACCAAAAAAAACAGAGCGTCGACCTCCGGAGGTCTCGACCCACTCCCTGGGACCCGCTTCTCATCCGGAATCGCTTGTTGCTGGTCCCGAAACCTGGTCAAGGCCCCAGGCCGAACATAACGACAAACACGCCGTCGTGATTTTTGGATGATTCGAGGGGTCTGTGTGCAGCCCTCGGTGCCCCCGCGCCCACAGCTCCAAGCTTGCCTTCTTCACCAAAGCGCCACCTTCTGGGGGGCGCAGGGAGGCCCGGCTCTCTGCTGCGTTGCAGCCGGGCGGGCCGTCAACGAGCCCACTCGCTCAACAGGACTGGGCCGGCAGAGAGGACGACGAGAGGGGAGAAGGCGAGAGAAGAGGAGGAGGAGGAGGAGGAGGAGGAGGAGGAGGAGGAGGAGGAGGAGGAGGAGGAGGAGGAGGAGGAGGAGGAGGAGGAGGAGGAGGGGAGGGGAGGGGGGGGGGGGGGAGGAAGGAGGAGGAGCGAGCGTCCCCAGGAGAGAATCCGCTCCCCGCCTGAGGCCGCCGCGGGCGCGCCTGGGCCGAGCCTCTCAGGCTCGCGCTGAGGAAATCCAGGGGTTAGGGGGCCACATGCGAACCCCTTACCCCTACCCCCCAACGAAGTGAACCCCACCCTCCCCCTCAGAAATCGCGGGGGGTAGGGGTCGGGTTCGCATGTGGCCCCCTAAGGGTGTGGTTGGCGTCCAGGGAGTCGTCGGGATCGTACTTGTAGTTAGTGCTGTCCAGGTAGTCGGCGGAGCCGTCGAAACCAACCAGGCGGTCGTCGGTGCCGTCGAAGGAGCCCGCGGCGAGCGCGGACGGGTGGCCGCCCACGTGGGCGGCGGCGTCATAGGTCGAGCCGTGCAGGTTGAGCGTGGACGGCTGGGTGTCGAAGGAGTCGGCGAAAGTGTCGCCGAGCGAGGCAGAATAACCGACCACGTGGCGGAGGTCGACACGAATGGAGAGAGCCGTGCAGCAGCATCGAAGCAACAATCAACCACGGCATCTAAAGACAGGGGCCCCTGGCACCACCTGGTCACGAAGGTGCACATCGACATGTCCAGAACGGACTGTGGCAGCTTGGAGACCGTCTCGCAGATTCTTATCCTGCTTGCCCTTTTTGACCTTCGTAGCATTCTTCTCGCTTTCTCCTTCTTCGCAGCAGCCTGGGGGAAGCCACGGACGGCACCACCTTGGAGAGCGTCGCGGGACGCCGAAGGAGCCAACATAGCCGTTGTGCTCGGAGAAGCCGTGGACACGCTCTGAGAAGCTGCGCGTGGATGGAGTAGAGCCTGAACGCCAGGCGCACTGCGCCCGGCAGCTCGTGCACGCCATAGCGCTGCAGGAACTGGAGGAGCATCAGCATACCCAGTGAAGATGCGACTGAGCCGAACGTGTTCGCCACCAGTGGCACGGTCTGACACCACGCACAGGTGAGAGAACTTGCACTCTTGTTTAAACTACAGTGCGCGGGAAGGAGCGGCACGCCGCGCGGGGGCTAGAGACCCCCAGGCCCACTCGAAGAGCCTTGGGGCAGAGAGAGTCGACCTCTTCTTGTGTACGGTGGCGGCACGCTCGTGCTCAGCTTGAGGCACGCAATTGCTCCGCACCACCCCAGCTTGAAGTGGAGTGAAGTCGCCCTCGACACGAGCCACGCCACAAGCGCCGAGAAAAGCGCGAGCAACATCCAGGAGACCACAACCAGCATCGTGACGAACGAGAAGGCCACCAGGGTCAACACCAGATTCATGAAGCACGGTGCCAGTACCCAGATGAGTAGCACTGTCATCCGCAGAGCCTGGAAGAACTTCGTGGTCGCCCAAAGGGTCCGCACAAGGGCCGTGAAGATCCACCCGCAGATCACGATGGTCCCCGCCAGAACCAGAAATCGGAGTCCGAGCAGGTACCAGTGGCCGAGCATCGTCGCAATCCCCAGCACGGTCCAGATCCACAGCAGGGCCCCGCGATCCAGCACGGTCCCGATCACCAGGAGC